GCAATTGCTTGTACTTGTACCTAAGCAAGGGAACATATGTTGTAGCTGATATATACGATATTTTACTCGCTTTGCTTATATTTTCAATAGGTTTTTAATAAAAAAGAATAAATATTGGCTTTAAAAGCTACTTCTAGCATTTTCGTGGGGTTTTTAAGTCTATAGTAGAAACTAGAACAAATTGGGCCAAAAAAGAGGAAAATCAAGCCTTATCAAGAAATGACAGATCCTTAATGTCGGATGTTTTGCTTCATATGAAGATTCTCCCGCCGTCGGATTGAGCTTCAAAATGAATATTCGATCACCAAAATCCAACGCTTAGATCTTGAGATATTATTGATCTACAGAAATATGTGCGAGTAAGATGCAAGTTAAAGGCGGTCAAGAATATTTACCCGCGTTCGATCAGACACCTACAGGCGATCGCCCGGACGTGAGCCCCTGGTTTTTTATGGAGAAGTGCATTATCACGGTGTTCAACCGATCACAGCAATTGGTCACTCAGTCCGAGTAAAAAAGAACATGCCCTAGCCGACTTCTCTACCTATAAAAGCAGCAGAGAGGCCACGAAAATCAGAATACTTCTCTCCATCATTCTCAGAACTCAAAGATCTTCACAAAGTTTTCAAGACATTCAATCTCTTTCACTTGTTCTTTCTATTGCTTGTTTCGATTAAGGGAGAAGAATCTCACCTCTTTGTAATCCATAGAGAAGTTCTTTCTTAATGATTTTCTCAATTGCTTTTGATATGGTTTGCTTTGTCATGTCTGAGTAGTCGTTTGTTGGGTTCTAAGGGGTTAAATTCTTGGGGGTTTTCATGGTTCAATAGATAGGTTTTATAATTACGGTTGCGCTCTTGATAGATTAAAAGTATTAGGATTGATCACTTTGAATCTGATTTCAGACAACATATTGTGTATTGACCAATCCTTTATATTGTCATGAATATGGTATTTGATGAGTTTGATTCTCTAAATTGCGAAAGTTAATTTATTAAGATAGATGAACAATTGAACTAGCTTACAATTGCTTACAAATTCAATATAACAATGTCTTTTTCAACAAATTACGTACAAATTTTACATATATAACACCGATGGTACCTTTGATCAAAGAACCAAAATCTACCGTGCTTTAGGTTCTTTGATCTCCGAAAACACTCCCCAACTCGATCCACTTCTCTCATCACCAACCAGAGGAGCAGAATCCTCATCAGTCGTCGTAAATTTCGACATGTGTCCTCCTGTAGTCCTACTAAACAAGTCATCTTCTCCATCAGTGGTCGTCGTTCCCACCTCGCCACGTGGCAGCTCCATAGACTCCACACCATTCTTCTTCTTCTTACTGGTCTCGTGAAGCTGAAGCGCAAACTCAAGACTCCAAACGACATCGTTCATCGATGGTCGTTCGGTACCACGATCTTGAACACATCTCACAGCAATCTCACAAAACTTCTCCAATGATGTCGTAGTAATATCAGCCGTTAGATCTGAGTCAACGATCTGATCAACGGTTCCTTTTTTGTAGTTTGACTTCACCCAACGGACCAAATGTGCTTGTTCCGGTTCAACATTTTCGATCTTGACCGGTCTACAACACAAAACCTCGAACAGAACAACTCCGAATGAGTACACGTCAGATTTTTCCGTCAAGACTTGACGGCGATAATACTCAGGGTCCAAGTAACCAAACGTTCCTTTAACGACGGTCGAAACGTGCGTTTGAGAAGCACTAGTTGGACCCACTTTGGACAAACCAAAGTCAGAGACTTTAGCTACGTAGTTCTCATCAAGAAGTATGTTTGTGGTTTTGATGTCTCTATGTATGATCGTCTGTTTCGCACCTGTATGGAGATATTGTATTCCACGAGCTGCTCCGATGCAAATCTCTAATCTTTGTTTCCAAGACAATGGAGGATCGAAAACTTTATCTCTCTTGTATAGATGGTCTTTAACCGTGCCACGAGGCATATACTCGTAGACAAGCACCATCTCGTTCTCTTCGTCGCAATAACCGATTAGAGAGACGAGATGTACATGGCGGAGCATTGAGAGCATCTCGAGCTCTGTTTCGAACTCCTTAATCCCTTGGTTGGATGAAATGCCTAACCGTTTAACCGCTACAAGTGTGGTTCCACCGTCAATTCTTCCTTTGTAGACCGGACCAAACCCACCTACCCCAACGATTAGCTTTTCCTCGAAATCATTTGTTGCGGATCTGATTTCGAGGATAGAGAATCGGCGGCAGAGATCCGACGGGAGAGATGATGTGGCTGATCTAGTATTCGTGGATCCTGTGGGAACAGGAGTCCACGAATCCGTTGGCTTGCTTGTGGCATGTACACTAAACTCTTTTACCTTGTTCTTCTTCTTGATCAACAACATGACCACAACAACAACTAACATTGCTAGCACAATTGCAGAACCAACCACTGCAAGTATTATAGCCAAAACATTTGACTTGCCTTTTGGTTTACTCGGTGTTACAAAATTTGGTGCGGGACTTGCTTCAGGATTTGGATTAGGTCCAGCGAGATTACCCTCGGAATTACTCATCTTGAGAATCTCTACACCATTTAGTATAGCGTCGAGATACATTGGATTAACGTCGATGAAAGGATGCAACTCGAGTAGTAGATCCCTTCCGGAACCGACAAATACAAAGTCTAGATACATTGGAATCCATGAACCACCGCTCAACCGAAACACATCCATCTCACGCTTAGCGATCTGCTCTCCAATGAAGATAGAGAACACTCGTTGGCCCCATCTGGTTACTTCTGGGATCTCACAGAAATGAAGCCTAACGAGGTAGTTAAACCCGGTATCGACCGGGAATAGCCATGTAAGGTTAAAATTCAAGTTGATTCTCGGGTTCTTCGCGTTCCCCATCACACGACAAGTGGCGTAAACGTCTTCCGGCGCAACATACGCCGGAGTTTTCGCCGTGTAATTTATCTTTACATCCGGTACGTTCGGAAAAGTTCCCGAATTCCCGAGTACGAAGTCAACATCGGAATTCCACCTCCGGAACATTCCGGTATCACCGATCGTTTGTCCGGCGACGTTTAACCGGTAAACAGACTCGAAAGCTGTTGAGTTGTCGTCTATCTGGAATTCAACGTTACTACCAACGTTTGATATCACGTCGTCAAATCCTCCCTTTGAGTAAAACCGATCAGGCATAGAGACAATCTCGATTCCGTTAACGAAAGCTAACGAATTCGAAGACGGTACGAACGTTAGATTTAACGTCGTCTGGTTAACCGGAACGATAAACTCTTTGATCACAAAAGATTCTTTGGAAGCTTTTACCGTTAAATCGGCGCTGAAGTTATTCAAGAGAGTAAAACCGTTGACGGTGACGGAGAAGAAGGAAGTAACGGCGTCGAAACCGGATCCGTACCGGGTCGGGTAAAAGTATAACCGGAGAAATTTCGGACCGGAAGAGACCGGAAAACTGTAAGTGAAATCAGATCGGAAAATCCGAGCTTTCATGTATGGAATCAGAGGAACTCCAGATTCTTGGGAAGTCGCATCTGAAGCGAACGATGAGTTGATTGAATTCGACGGTAAGGTTTTCCGATTCTCCGCCGTCCAATTCCGGCCAGTATCGTCGGTTTTATCGGAGGTATCGCCGCAGTTGAAGAGAAAGACATCGGTGGGAACGTACGCCGGCGACGTTGCTGCTTCTCCTCCGGCGACGGCGGCGGAAACGAGAATGGAGATGATTAAGAAACCGTGACGGATCATTTGGAATTGAAAAAAATGGAGAATTATTGAAGGATTG